GCTCTCTCTCTCTCTCTCTCTCTCTCTCTCTCTCTCTCTCTCTCCCCCTCCCTCTCTCCCTCCCTCCCTTCCTCCCTCCCTCCCTTCCTCCCTCCCTCTGTGTGTATGTGTGTCTGGTCAAATTAAAATAAATGAATGAATAAATAAAATTAAATTAATAATTATTTTTTTAAAAAAGAACATGGAGCATATTCTGAAGACAATGCTAAAGTAAAATTACAGGATAGTTTTTGAGTAATGACAGCATAATTAAAATAAGTATATAGTTCCCAAATACTTGAACAGGGAAAATGCCCTTTTGAATAAGTAAATTCTTATTTCTGATAGCAACTTGAACTTAGTATTTTATACTCACATAATAGCCAACACCAAAGTTGTTACATGACCTATGTTCTGCTACATCATGTGCTGAATCTGTGTACGTGGAATATATGAATGTGCTTAATAACAGTGTCTGTCTTATTGTCTCTAGGTCTCTACTTAATAAGAAGGAGCTACTGGAGTTTGCTCAACTTGGCTGTTACTTGGAATATGATCTCTTTGGTAATGAACTCCTACATTACCATCTCAATCCAGATATTGACATGCCCGATGATAACAAAAGAATTAGAAGGTAAATATGTGCAAATCTCTCAGAGCATTACCTTTTACTGGCCCCTTTTGATTGTCATATCTGGGTGAGTATTAGCAAAGATTCAGAAAACAGTATGTAGGCTGAATCACAGACTTGCAGAGAAAAATATATCTATGCTGTTTCAGGGAGAAAATCTCTCTATATTATTTCAAGGAGAAAAATGAGTCATCCTAAGTAGGCTAAAGCTTAGCAGAGCCTTAGAAGTCAGTGCAGATGGGCAGCAGACAAGAAATACGGATAATACTCAACCCCTGCCATGATAATAAGAGAATAAAAGATGTTTTCCTCCTTTCCTCCCTAATAAAATACGCTGTTTGTCTCACACATTGACCACATTAAAGTCGTAACTTCCTACAATTAATATTTGAAATATTGTACTAAAGAGGTGATTCAATGAAATGCTAAAAGTATAATGTTTAATGACCAAACAGCAAATAAAATGCAATTTCACAAAACTGTTTAATGTTTGATGAAAACAAATAAGTCTTGGTTGGAGTTATGCTTTGCAATTAAGTGGAAAATTTCAGATATGGCTACCTGGTTGGGTCTTGGTCAGATGGTGTTATGAAAATTGAATGACCCAAACCAGAGACTCTGGGAGGAGAGCTAGACTTGGGATTGACAAGGAATGCTTTGGTTTGGGGGTATCTAGGTGTTATATTCCAGTGGAGCCCTAAGATAAGGATGTGAAACTCAGGGCAGAGATTTGGGCTGAGACCAACCTCTAGACAACATTGGTTTGTATGTGATAGCCTGAACCATAGGAATGAATGAGATCACTCAGAGAACAGGATGAGAATAGAGTTCTGGGTGCATGGACATCTAAAGGATGGAGTCATCCAAGGTCATTCGAGGACAGGTTGGGGAGTTTTTCAGGTGATAATATCAGGGAGGGAAATGTTATGGAAGTCAGTGCAGAGGAGTGTTTAAGGCAGGAGGGCATGAACACCTATGAAATGTGCCAAGTATCAACTAGGACAAAGACTAAAAAGGATTCTTGGTACTGCACAATTATCATGCTCTTATTTCTTAATCAGTCCAGGCAGTCTCATAGAAAAGGCTTGAGGTGGGCCAGTAGATGGCATAATGGTTACATTGCTGGACTCTCACATAGTCAACTGCAGTTCAAGTCCTAAACCCGGCAACTTAAAACTAATGCCAACTGCATGTGTGTACATGGCCAAAATCCCCAGTGGAGAATGGAAGAGAAGGAATTGGGGCATGGTCATAAACCCTGGGGAGTGATTTCTCACTTTCTGTCTCTGTCTATCCCTGGTTCTCTGGTGAGCACACATGCCCTATAACAAAAATATCTAAAAAACAAACCAAATAAATAAATAAATAAAAGATTTGAGGACCAAGTAGGAGGTGAGAAGAGAGAGAACATGGAGGTTATCCTTTCAAGAAGTGTGATAGTAGAGGGAAACAAGGAGGTAGGCTGAAGCTAGGGGGCTACACAGAATTAAGGGACACGTTTCTTGAGAACTGAGCAGTTTGTGTGGCTAAGAGCAAGAACAGAGAGCAACAGGTTGAGAGAGAATGAATCCAGGGAAATAATACCATTCTACAAGGTCATTATAGAATTTATATGAAAGTATGCAAAGTTTTATCTGAATGGTTCCAAATACAGAAGTGTTCAATAGACATTGACTTAAAAACAAATCTGGAGAGAGAAGAAATATAGAGCAAAGCTCCCAAGAAAACATATAGGTGGGATCTGGGAGCAAACAGAAAGCTAGTTGAAATGATACTTTATTGAAATAAGAGCATCAAGGAAAGCAGTGGTATGAGTGCAAATAAACGTGTCGGTGAGACTAGAAAACTAAAAACTACGACCATGAGTCCTCTGGTGTCCCTGTGTGGTAGATGTGGTCATCTCCTGAGGAAGGAGGAGTGGATTCAGAGCAGGACCTCATAGAGGAAGTGTAGGAATGGCTGTCAGGTGAATGAAGGAGACACTGACAAGGACATGCATAGAGTCCCAATTGATGCTGGAAAGCACAATTGCTTGACTGTATTGACACCAATGTACAAGCTTTGGTGGTTATTTTTCCAAAATATGCTTTTAGTTTTGGTAGGACTTAGAGATGCTTTGGGTTAGATGCAGATTAATGTCTCTGTACTGACTGATATGCAAGGCATTCCCTTTTGAAAAAGCAATGTAATACACTGTAAAGTTATATGTAATCCAATGTAATATAAAGAAGATTATGATGATAATAAAAATTAAAAAATTAAAAATAATAATGTTGAGAAAAAAAAAAAGAATGAATAGTCAGACAGATCTAGGGTTGAGAGTCTATCTGTAAGATGTGGTTGATAGCCACGAGAACAAAGGAGGGGTTGCGAAGAGGGTCACGGGTCCATGCTGGAGGGAAGAAAGAATAGAGAATTGGAGGTTATAGAGGAAAAACACAGTGAGGCAAATAACTGGGGTTTTAAAGAAATGGGTGAATATATTCAGTGGAAGAGGGTGGATGGAAAAAAGTAGAAGGAGGTAACATGATCAGAGTGGGAAGCTGAAAATGGAGATTTCAGAAAAGGTGCAATTCTCCACTATGACGAGGACCGCAGTCTGGTTATGAATGGAGAAAATTAGTTGGAATGGGGGTAAGCGTAATTGGAATTGAGAAATGATGTCCAGAAACTGTTAGGCTCCCGCATGAGTAGTTGCATAAACATTCTGAAGTTATGAGGAAAACCTCCAGCTGGTGGTCAGAGTTGGAATATCCTTAGGATCTTTACCCTAGAAAGTTAGATTTTTTATCTCTGTGCTGTCTGCCTCTCCCCTGCATTGGCATTCCTTCTTGAGAACCTCATTACAAGAAAATGATGCTTCAATTTTGTATTACTGAAGAGAGCTAGGTGCTAAATGCTATACTGGTTATGGAAGTTGGAGACACAACTCTTCATGAGCAAATTCCTTGACTGACTTAATCAGAAGCCAACTCTTTTTTTAATACTCAGACAAGTTCTTCTATAAACATATTTAGTGCTTTTGTTTGTTTGTTTTGTTCTATGCTTTGCATCTACCTTCCCGAAACACTATTCAATACAGGAAAATAAGTTTTCTATTACCCTACTAGATTTATGATATGCTGAAAAGTGAATATTATGGGAACCAGCAGTTAGCGTAATGGCTATGTCGCTGGACTCCCACGTAGTCGACCGCGGTTCGCCTCCCGGACCAGGGGGCTTAACACTCACGCCGGGCACGTGTGCATGCATGCCCAAGATCTCAAGAGGAGAATGGAAGAGAAGGGATTGTGGCGTGGCCATCCCCCCGGGGGGTGATTTCTCGCTTTCTGTCTCTATGTCTGTCTGTCTGTCTGGTGAGCGCACGCGCCCTATAGCGAAAACCTCTCAAAAAAAAAAAAAAAGTGAATATTATTTGGCATTTAAAATGGGGTGGTGTGGTAGGCCTTTCGCATCTTTTGTGGTCTGAAAAAAACATGATTTCCTGAAGAATGCCATTAATACATGTGTTATGACTCATCTAGGAAATGGGAAACTTGAACTCAGTATCTGCTTCCCTTTCCCTTTTGTATCGGTGAGGTATACCATTTACACCCCTCTGTATTCTATGAGACTCCCAGACCTTCTGGAACATGAGAGTCGAGATCTGTAAAGAGGACAAAACAGCTCCACATTTTTTTCTAGACTCCTTTAGGCTGTTAGTTCAAGTACAAGAACTTCATTTTGGCTACTATTTATTGTACCAAATGTAAACATTCTGGATATATGGAAATGCATAACCATACACCCACCTATATGAATGTGTGTGTATGTTTTAATGTGTACATATATCCGTAAGTTGTGTGCTATTCTCTATGTATATGTGCCTGTATGTGTGCTTAATCATTCTAAAATTAAAACCATAAACAGTTTAATGCATTAGGTCACTTCACCCAAGTGAAGCTCTTGTTAATCACTAAATGACCTTTGAGTCTTGTGTGTTCCAGTATCCCATTGTTCACCGTGTCTTAGGCATTTGGTTTTTATCACTCATCTGCAGTCCTCTTCCGAGCAATGGTAGTCTTAAAGTCCCAAAGTGCAGGACCAGCAGATGGCATAATAGTTATGTCACTGGACTCCCACATAGCCGACTGCAGTTTGAGTCCCAGACCCAGCAGCTTAAAACTCACGCCAGGCACTTGTATGTGTGTGCCCAAGATCCGAAGAGGAGAACGGAGGAGAAGGGATTATGGTGTGACCATTCCCCTGGGGGTTGACTTTTTGCTTTCTGTCTCTCTGTATCTCTGTCTCTCGGTGAGTACACATGCCCTATAGCAAAATTCTCTAAAAAAGAAAATGACAACAAAAAAAAACCAAGAATCTCCAAGTGCAAGAGCATAGAAGCAGGCTTCAGCCTACCTCTAGTTTTCAGTACCAGAAACTGTGTCTAACACCTGTTTGCAATCTTATGCTCCATTTCTCAAATCTTATTATATCTCTGCCTTTTTCACACTCTGTAGTCTCTCTCTAATATTTGTTTGCAAAACATGAACTCATTTGTATTTCTATAATTACTGTGATTTTTTTGTCTTCTCATCTGTAGTGGTTTCCCTTCTGCAGCATCTCTGTAACTCTTGTTCTTCCACATAGTGCTACAACAGGAGAGATGATCTCTTAGTTTAGCTGTGACCAGGCAGGTTTTCCTGTTTGTTAGGTTATTGTTGTGCTTCTGGAGCTATGACGTTCTCTTTTTGTGAGATAACTAGTCTTCAGATGCTTGACATAACGAGATCTAAAAGTTCTCATTTTTAAATAAGAGTATCTTACCCTCTGTATCCTTCCTTCACTACTTCACAATTTGATGACTTCATGTTTCAAGGTGTGACATAAGGTAACTTAAAGGGATGTGTTGATCTATGTGTATGCCTTTGGAAAAACAAGATATAATTATCAGGTAAGGAAAAGAGATTTTTAAAAAAGAAAAAGAAAAAGAAAAAACCTGGGGAAATGCTCAGAAAATGTCAGGGACACTGCTGTGTGTCCTTTTATTTTTTTGGAGAGGTTTTTGCTATAGGGCACGTGTGCTTGCCAGACAGACAGACAGAGACAGAGAAACAGAAAGCGAGAAATCATCCCCCAGCGGGGATGGTCATGCCGCAATCCCTTCTCTCCTCCATTCTCCTCTTGGGATCTTGAGCATACGTGCAAACACACGTGGCGCGAGTTTAAGCCACTGGGTTCAGGACTCGAACACTAGTCAACTACATGGGAGTCCAGTGACATAGCCATTATGCCCTCTGCTGGTCCCCCATGTGTCCTTCTATACTGTAATACTCCTTTGCAGTTGTGGTTTAAAGTTCCTCACACTGAAGTTCAACATTGTGTTTACATTCTGTCAAATCTTTCTTTTTTATAAATGATCATAACTCTTACAGACAATTCTCTTAAGTAGAGTTTTTCCAAAAATAACTGCAGATCATTACTTTAGGACGCTATGCCAGTGCCAGTGTAGCAGATAACCACAGTGGCATGGATGGCATTGCATACACTTTTAAATGGCATTACATACACACACTTATGGTCCATATGGTATGAATGCTCATTTCTGTACCAAGTATCCAGCTGGCTCTCGTACACTGGCACTTGCATTCTTTTGACCTACAAATACAATGTCAAATATTCCATTACATTTTAAAATGTGTTTTCTCAGAGGGCAGGACTTTGTGCCTAAGTGTGTCCCATGTATCGTGCCCTACATGTTGTTTACTGTAGTAGTTAGTAAATATACCTCATAAACCAGAATGCCAAGAAATGCTATCAAAACAAAAAGGATACCCTTCAAATAGCCCCTGGATGAAGGTGCTTACAATCAGCCGAAAGCACTTGGGAATCTAACAACAGACAAGACTATCCAGAGAATCCCAGATAAGAGTCATTGTCTGCAAGTCGTATCCTTTCCCATCAGAGACCCATGTTCAGTCAGAACAGACACTGCCCAGAGTCCAGACACATACAGATGGTGGCTGTCAGGAGGTGACTCACACTACAGAGTACAGCATTTAACAAAGCAAAGAGGATTTCATTTTTAGACAATCGCCAGGAAGCTGTTCTTTAGTCAACTGACTATAAATTTAAAGGAATGGCTTATTATTTTAGCCATCGTGTTGACATGTCAGGAAGATAGAGTATATTGCTATTGGTCAATTTAATCCCATGTTGAGAGACTAAGTCAAAATTCCCAGAGATTTCAAAGAGACAAATGTTCAAAATATGCATGTACTTTTACCAGCCTTTTTCCAATGACTGTGTGCTATACCTTTCACTGGCAAACCAACCGATTTTTCTCTCAGAGTATTTTACTTGTATAAAGATTCCTCTTATTTCCTTATTTCAGTCACAAATAGTCTTTGATTTTATTTGCTAGATTAAAAGAGAGGGCAAGAATGAGATCTGAAAAATGGGCCCACTAAGAGGGGCACTTTAGAAAAGAGAGCTAAATACAAACCCAGAACCAAGTTATTCAGTGAAATGCTGAAGGGGTCATCCATTCGAACTGGCCCGTCCTATTAGAAGCATCTTTTAGCAGTTTTGCTAGGCGTTGTCATAAATATCACAGGTTAGAAATTCGTGTGCATGGAATAAAGATCATGTTCCTACTAGGGTGCAGTAATATCTTTATCACCACCACATTATCTTTATTAAGGGTCTCCCGATACACATGCCACAGTGGAAGGCAGTTATCTTTACGACAAGCACAATAGGTTTACGAGTGAAAACTGTGAAGCACCCTGAACATCTAAAATGTGAGAAAAATGACAGACAATGAGTTGATTTTTTTTTTTTTAAACAGGGTTCGTCTCCTGGTGGAGGAGGGTTATGAAGATCGAATTCTGATGGCACACGACATACATACGAAGCATCGGCTGATGAAATACGGAGGTCACGGCTATTCTCACATACTCACTAACGTTGTTCCTAAAATGTTACTTAGAGGTATAGCTGAGAATGTGATTGATAAGATACTCATAGAGAACCCTAAGCAATGGCTAACTTTCAAATAAGATGGGTGTTTGTAAGAAGTCACACCTTGAACAGTCTGTGACTTCAGACCTACTGCAAGATATTCATCAGAGTGACATGGGACTAATGACTGATTAATCCTCCCTATGACAATGAAGAGAGTTCGCCTTCTCTGCAACTGGCTATTACATCTGCACCTCTGGGGAGTTACTGAACTTAGTAAGCCCCATTGTGTTGCTGTAACAAAATAAATGCAGAAATGACCTGTTTCCAAACAATGATATAAAGTCTGTATCCTGTAAGTGGAATTTTAGCTTTTGTTTTTCTGTTATCTCCTCATCTATCAGCGGTACTACTTGAGAAAATCTAAAGTGTTTCTAGTTAAATTACCCCCTTCTGGAGCAATTTAATGTTTCTTGTAATATTGATGATCCTACTAATTATCATGCTGTTCTTTAATTAATGCTTAATGAATAATATGGCACTTTAAAATAGCTTCTGCAGCAAGGGAAGTTAAATTTTGAGACTTTTTTTCCCAAAGGATACTGTAGTAGAATTGCTAACTCACAATAGAAATATTTTGGAAGGTTAATTATGTTCTGTCTACCTATTTATATACACTTACAAAAAATTATTTTTTATGCCTTTGGCATTCTGTATCTATTTTTTGCTGTAAATTGTGTCGTGTTTTGCAAAGTTTCTATAAGAACATATAGCAGTACTGAATTATAAAAATTCAATCATAAAAGTCAAAATATATTACATAATAGTTTAATGAATCATTACATTTATAATAACAACGGCCATGATTTAATTAAGATAGAATGCAAAAAAAGAGAAATGTTTGCCTTATGTACATATATATATATTCCCTTTATTTCCTTTACCTTTTGTTTTTCCTTAAGCCTAAACAAAGAAAACAATACTTACTTATCTGAAGAAAAGGTCAAATCTATTGGAAATGACAGTCTGATTCTAGAGCCTACTCTTTAAAAGGTACCCAGCCCTGATGTTTTGTATAAACAAAGTTTTTTTTTAAACAATGAGTTGAAACTTAGTTCATGTACACTTATATTTATAAACTAATTTCTTGATCGAATCCTCACTGTGCAATTTGATACATTTTTTAAAAATCTTTAAAACCCTTGTTGCCAATTCCTCTTCGATTTTAGAGATATATATCTATTATGATTCATTTATGAATTATCTTACACATTAGACTGTCCAAAAAAAAGTTAGTCACTATTCTTGATGAATGGACTAAGTGTTTTTTAATCATATAAATCATGACAGTTACTCAGACCAAGGCATTTAAGCAGAGCAACCACCACCTTCAGATGGGAACCACTATCTATAACTCTTGGAAAGTTAAGTTTGCTAAATAAAAGATACTTCTGCTGATCAAAGATGATCAAGCTTTCTGTGTATTAGAACAGAAAGTACCAAAGAGGAATGAGCCAGAACAAACCAATTCCTTTAAATGAAAAATGCAAATGTCTTTCACCACTAAAACAAACAGATTTTTAAATCTGTTTTTGAAGTCTACTTGTCACAGTCTTCAAAGACAACTGAAAGGAGAACAGATTTTTTTTTTTTCATTGTAATAGTGGAAGTTGTGTAATAGTTAGGATGTAGCAACATGCATTTTTAATCTTTTCCTTAGATTAAATAGATGGCTTTGGCGGTGTATTTTAACCAGAGAGAAAGGATTTGTTCTACTCTCAAAATCTACTTCACTGTCAGCTTCTATCCACCTGAGAAGAAAAAAATGGATCATTCAAATGCATGTAATTCATAAAGGTTGTGAAGGAGAGCCACTTTGCTTCTGCAGTCCTAATCTGAGCAGTCTGTTACAGAACGCAGTGAAAGTATTGATTGGCGAGTGGTAATAAAGCAGCCATAGGCTTAACTTACAGATGGGAAGTATAGAATATTTTAACCTAATAAAATTTAATTTTCTGGATAACTGTTTTCTCTTTCGTATACTTTTGTCATTCAAAATATATATCAATCCAAAATAAGTAAAATCATTATCATTTATGTCTGTATATGTATACACACATACTTTTTAAAATTAAATTCTGAGGTTGGATGGTCACTTTGCCTCATGGACTAAAACCATATGTGTGTGTGTGTGTGTGTGTGTGTGTGTGTGTGTGTGTATTTCACCTAACATATATATGTATGGGGGGCAGGTATTTGTATAAAATATATATACTTTGCTGACATAGTGGTTATATGTGAAATTGTTAATTTTAAAATAACCTCAGGCCACAGACTTGTAGCAACTGTTTGAAGGCCTTACTTAGTATACCCTTGGTAATGCATGCAGCAGCTCAAATTAAACCTTTGTGCACTGGGTTATGAATAATTTTTTGTTCCAAAGCAGGCAAAAACCTCAGTCTAATACCAAAGAATAAATTTCTCTGACTTTCCAAGTAAATCTAAATGTATCCTATTGACAAAATAGACACACAGGGGCTTTTTCTAAATACCGTACATAATGACACATTTTTACACTCAGGGGGTAATCCTATGACACAATTTCAACCTCTATTTTTAAAGACTATCACCCAAAAAGAGAGAAAAGAAAATTCCTAAGAAAAAGAAAGTGGGAAAATGATCATAGGCTTGGGAATTCCCTCAAATCCAGAAAATTCCAGGTTAAGGCTTGAAGTTGAATCATTCCCAGGTCTAGCTCTAAAGTTAACAAGGATACAAGGCAAACGATTTCTTTGGGGGCAAGCAGCATTATTTCAATTAGACCTTCTCCTGCAGGGTAAAAATCATTCTTCCCCACACTATGAATGGACTCCGAGTCTCATAATAAGCAGGTCAACTCACAAGAACCAAAGCTGACATATGGATGAAAGCAGCAAGATCACAGTACACCAAAGTATCATATATATTGAAGAAATAATTCAGTGTCTTAGATTTTTCTATAAAAATTTGTGATCTATATAGGACTTCATTCACATGGACACTAACAATAAGGAGTATTTGCTTTGGCGGTAGTGGATCACACATCTGCTTATCTTGTTTTAACTTTTTTTTTTTACATAATGTTTCTGAGTGATACAGATGTGAGTCAGGTAGCATTTGATTTCCCCACATATACACAACTGAGGTGCCCCGTGATTGGCATCCCCTGGGATCCTTGATTCACTGAATACTTTTTTTTTATCTATAGCTTGTCTGATGTGCATAAATATATATATGTGTGTGTGTGTGTGTGTGTGTGTGTGTGTGTGTGTGTGTGTATTTCACCTAACATATATATGTATGGGGGGCAGGTATTTGTATAAAATATATATACTTTGCTGACATAGTGGTTATATGTGAAATTGTTAATTTTAAAATAACCTCAGGCCACAGACTTGTAGCAACTGTTTGAAGGCCTTACTTAGTATACCCTTGGTAATGCATGCAGCAGCTCAAATTAAACCTTTGTGCACTGGGTTATGAATAATTTTTTGTTCCAAAGCAGGCAAAAACCTCAGTCTAATACCAAAGAATAAATTTCTCTGACTTTCCAAGTAAATCTAAATGTATCCTATTGACAAAATAGACACACAGGGGCTTTTTCTAAATACCGTACATAATGACACATTTTTACACTCAGGGGGTAATCCTATGACACAATTTCAACCTCTATTTTTAAAGACTATCACCCAAAAAGAGAGAAAAGAAAATTCCTAAGAAAAAGAAAGTGGGAAAATGATCATAGGCTTGGGAATTCCCTCAAATCCAGAAAATTCCAGGTTAAGGCTTGAAGTTGAATCATTCCCAGGTCTAGCTCTAAAGTTAACAAGGATACAAGGCAAACGATTTCTTTGGGGGCAAGCAGCATTATTTCAATTAGACCTTCTCCTGCAGGGTAAAAATCATTCTTCCCCACACTATGAATGGACTCCGAGTCTCATAATAAGCAGGTCAACTCACAAGAACCAAAGCTGACATATGGATGAAAGCAGCAAGATCACAGTACACCAAAGTATCATATATATTGAAGAAATAATTCAGTGTCTTAGATTTTTCTATAAAAATTTGTGATCTATATAGGACTTCATTCACATGGACACTAACAATAAGGAGTATTTGCTTTGGCGGTAGTGGATCACACATCTGCTTATCTTGTTTTAACTTTTTTTTTTTACATAATGTTTCTGAGTGATACAGATGTGAGTCAGGTAGCATTTGATTTCCCCACATATACACAACTGAGGTGCCCCGTGATTGGCATCCCCTGGGATCCTTGATTCACTGACGTTAGCCGTACGAATCCGGTGTTCGAACTCAGAATAATCAGCTTAGTTTCTGCGTTATCAGTCAGCATAAATAATAAATCCAGAAAACGTGCTGTATTTGTTGTTGTTCCCTCCATGGGCTTTCCCGCCATCTAATTTGATGTAGACTTCATCTCCTGGCTCCAAGTGAAGAACCACACTGTTGCTGGCATAGTCGTAATTCTGATCAGCATCTTGAGCAATGGCGCTAGCACGCACCTATGTGAAAAAGGTAAGAATTAGAGTTCAAAGAAAATTCTCACATTTTCTTCTTTCTTTTGGTAACTCTCACAGCAACCTAAGCACACTTGCTGCATAGCATAGAATTTAGCATAGGAAAGGCCTTTTTGGCTTGGAAGGTTTATGAGGATCTCTCTGTAGCAGTTTCAACTATGTTAAGGAAAGGAAGGGAGAAAACAGTGCTTGGTAAGGAACATCCCAGCAGTCCTTTTCTATCTGTAGATTGTAAATAACACATACCAATCTATTTTCTTTCTCAATCGCTACTTTTTCTAATTCCTTGAATCCCTATGCCCATTTTTTGAAATGGGTATCATAGTATCATTTTTGCATTTTGAGCCATGTAGTCATAGTGTAACAAGCTGCTAATAAGTACAGAAGCTCAGGTCTAACTTCATTGGTCATCACAATTATTAAAACATTGAGATTGATGATAGATAAACACCTAGGGAAATATCACTACTCTACTTTATAAAAAAAGGGAAGGAAAAAAAAAAAGAAGCCAGCCCTATGATTTAGGGCTTTTGAAATTGGATTCAAATGAAGTCCTTTTTTCCACACTCCTTCAGATACTTAACTCCTTTAAACGTCTTTGGTTAGAGCATCCAAGTTTTTAAGAGTTCTTTTTCCTATTTGTGCCTTTTTATTCTCTCATTATGATATGTACACTTAAATTCAACAATTTTAACATATGTAAGATTATAGAAGGAACTAAATTTCCATCATCTGCAGTCTCTTTCTAAAATGTTTGAATGATCTCGTCGATTATCCTTTTGTATTTAGGTGATTCTGAACGTGTAATTGACTTTAAGGGTAGAAGTTGCTTATAACGTGCTCTAGTTCAACCTGTGATCTCATTCGTGAGTTGACAGACATTTGCAAACAGTCAAATTGCCTATCATATCGTGTAACACGGACATTCTGTCACATCCTCAACTCAAATTAGGCTTTGTACTCATTTAGATATATTTCGATTCTGCCTTGGAAAATCTTTCAATAGGCAGACTTGTCTTTGATTTATTTCAGTAAAACATCTTCTACTTTGTGGCTTGTTTCTATTCTACTATAATGATATTTCCCTGCATAACACTGCAAGTGATTTAGTGGTTTTGTAAACCTGCACTATGTAATAATGCATGACTTGGGGTAGAATATGCTGGATTTTATCACTTGGCAAAATGAGACATAAGTCAAGAATTTCATGCATTTCTTTCAAAATTTAAATGATAGGTTTTCAAATTAAATTTTCATGTGCTATGTTCTCACATTAATGCTGAAATGTTAAAAAAGGAGAAGGCTCTTATGACACTGCTGAACTTGTAAAGTAATTTGAGTAGTATTTTTAAAATTTCTTTCTGGGTATCGTATAGCAGAAGGAGAAAAGGGCTTAAAGGATTTAGAATTGCTTAACACTGTGCTGTCACTAATAGAATGAAAGCAATATGCCACTTAATTATGCTCAGAAGGGCTGACTTAAATATATACACCAATCTAGGGAGGTGATCTGTTTTCATTATTAAATAATAATACAATTGAATTTCATAATATGTCCTAGAAATTAATCATCAATTTGTAGAAGTTGAATGCTTCAATTCATTAATGGCATCTACTCGTTAATTCCCAGGGATAAAGATCTACGAGAAGGATATTGCTATTATAAACTGGATTTTTGAATGTCTGAGCTTTTTAATGGGTGAGAAAAATTAGAATACAAACTAGTAACAGCTATATTAGTAACATTAATTATAAATCCAGAATATACTTCTTAGCTGTTATTAATAACCAGACACATTCAGTGCTTTAGGTAGGTAGTGTATGTGCTAAAGGTATTGTGCTTTAACACTGCTTTCTATGTGAGGCATTTGGGAACCAGGACACATTATAAACACTTGCTCTAGAAACCATCTTTTAAAAAATATTAAGCAGTTTTCATTCTGTAGGGTGTGACCACAAAACCAAGTAAACGTTACCATTTTTATTCAGTAGGTGTAACCACAAAAACCTACAAATGCATTAGAGTGATTCCACAGACTGAAAGGTTACCCTTACGGGTTTCACTTCCTTTGTTGGATAAAGCCAGTGTGATTTCTTTTTAACGAAAGTCATTCTCTAAAGATTTTCTACCTACACTGTACCATAAGACTTTGCTAATTAAATAATTGCCATACTCTTGTGTCCTTTCATGATTTCAATATGCCTGCTCACCTATCATACTCGAAAGGTATGATGGGACTTGAAATTTCAAAATCTAGTATCCAGCTCAGTGACTTTAACAATTCTTCCTTTAAGCCGTCAAACTATTGAGGAAGGTAATGTGCTCACCTTGGAGGCTATTTTCCTGTTCTTACATGTACCCTGATTTCGGCATTTTGTCTAGAAATGTGATGCATCCTTTCCTTAGCTCAAAATACCCATTTCTACCTAAATTTACTCCAAAAACTATTCTTATTATAAATTAACTATTTAGATTCTTTAATTTCTAGTCCATGACTCATTGCCCCTAAAAAGATAATTCGTCATGTCATTCATTTCTCTAACAAATGAATATCAACCCACAAAGTATTCATTCTTTTTCATAGATTTCATATTTGCTGGCACCAAAAAAAATAAAATTCCTAAGAATAAAAACTGGTTTTTAATTATTTTATAGTTCTAATCCTCAGCCAGCTTTAGTTCTTAGTGGATTATAATGATATTACAATGATTGTATTCAAACAGCAATACTTTTTCAAAT